ATATATAAAGTACGAAAGAAACACCCCACGTATACACACACATACACACACACACACACGAATATATATATATATATATATATATATATATATATATACATATATGTGGGTGTGTGTACGTGGGGTGCTTCTTTCATATTTTATTTCTATTTATTAATATTATAATTATTTATTATTATTCAATTATTTCTTTGATTAAGCCTAGTTACTTTCCGCCTTGGGAAACTGGGTTTAAGCACCTGCAGCCACCGAAAAATATCATATTATTCATATTTGCCCCATACTTGTTATTATTAATTACTTTACTGTTATCCTTCTTGGTAATAATATTGACCTCCATTTCCTTTCTTGTCATACTTCATCCTTTTTTATAATAATAATATATTGTCCTTGTTGTAATGTTGATAACTGGATGACGCCTATCGCTTTCGTCTTTGTTGATGTTCTGGTCATTACGTTCACTATAACTGTTGTGACTATTTATTATTATTGTGTTACTAAACCAATTTTTTTTCAATTCTACATTTCTAAAATCATTATCATTATTTTCATCATCATTACTAATAGTTATCTTTTATTATCACTATTTTAAGTGTTTATTATAACAATGTCTCAATATAGTCGTCAATACTAAGCACGGTCGGTGTCCTCCATCGAATCGTGTTTGTCTCCATTCGAGAGATTAAAGAGAAAGAGATTTATACAAACTAAACAAATATAATTCAAAATGTTTGCGGGTTAAATCGGGATTGCGGCGGTGTTCACGGCGGTTTTTTCTGATAGCACTTGAACAGAATCGACGGGTTTTGCAAGCGCATACTTGGAAAAGACTACCGAACCAATCGCCTTCGTTCAGTACCCTCCAATGGATTTCAGAAATATGTGAGGCTTACGAAATGACCCGACATAGGGTGAAGAAGGATAGATAACTGAGTGCCGACAATCACGATTAATCCCGTAATTATAGTGATCAGAGAATAGCAGTTATAGGTAGTTATTATTATTACTATTATACGATCCCTTTCACATTATCACCCTCTATGGTCATATGACCTGCCACTGTCCGCTTCGGCTTCGTCCCGTTCTACTGTCACCTTTTGCACATTTATTAGCAGTCCTATTCCGCCGTCGAATTACTTGTGTTTGTATGAATATATACATTATAATATAATAATCCGCAATAATCATTAGTGAATTGTAAAAAGAGAAAGAAAACAGAGAATAATTACGTTATTCTATTTGCTGTTGCTGTTTCTGCTGTTTTCGCTACAAGTAGCCGAAGATTCGTTATAATCTCTTCTACTAGCGTTAGTTCTATTCATCTTCCACTATTTTTTTCTAGGGTCGCGTTCTATCTGTCACCCTACTAAATCCACTCAACTCTTTCATTTGGTTTCATTAGTTCTTGGGGGTGACGCTTGGCAAAAACGCGTTATCGCAACCTATTGACGAATGGCTGCTAGTTCATGGCAAGCTCTCTGAGAATCTGCCCTAGTGTTTGTTCCTCGCCCCAAAAAACATGGACAAGTCGGACCGCTTGGTAGCTATTTAGTAGCAGCGACAGTGAAGTGGTCTGCCGCCGATCTTTTCACGGTCAACTCATAATTGTCAAGGAACCATCAACTAGCAGACTTATCAACGTATGTCTTTGTATCGGGACCCTTAACAATATGCAATCACATCGGAAGATTATTCTGTTTCCTCGGTGTGCTCCTCAGGCATTTTTTTAATCTTCTAGTTCGGCTCCTTTTTCGTTTATTACCCTTCGATCGTCTCTCTCTAGTATAACATGGCCATTCAGTGCTTTACGATTCTCCATTCCCACTTCAATCGAACACTTTTTCTTTCCCTCTTGCTACTTGCGACCACCGTCATGATTCACCAATGCGGCTTTTTCTGCTCATCAGTCAATTAGATGAAACAAACTAAACGGTTGATCATTCAGCTAAGCAATCAATCGGACAATCAATCACAATTATCGTCAACGTCACCAATCATCAACGAATTACACTCACATTGTCGCTCGCTAGTATCATCACCACTATCAACATCAGTGTCACCACTTTTCGTCGCCATGATAAGTGAGACGTCATTTACAGACATCACCGTTGCTATCAGTATGTCATTCAGCAATCTAGCAACTTAATACCGCGCACCACTAATCAATCAATCAATCAATCTGCCTGTCATTCAATCGATTAACGACGTATTACTGGGAATTGATATTTCATTATTGTCGGCATTATATTATTACTAATATTGTTATTATTGTTCGCTAGCCACTCGAAGTGTTGTCTCCTGTCACCAACCGCAACTTATTCTACTATTCAGTCATCACAAACGGGCACGGTCGCATCGATGTGCACTTGCATTGATTGAGTGTCAAATGCGACATGATCAATCAACGATGTGCTTTTGAAGGAGGAGAAAGTGTATCGTGCAACAACCACTGCGGTGTTATTGCTATATTGTTATTATCGTAGCTATAATTTTATAAGATTATTACCATATTCCAAACAACGAGAATTTTGTGACAACACCAAAAAAACTAGTACTGGGTGACGTCAACGTAGGAATAGCACATTCGAATGATGTTTTTTGCAGAGCAAAACATGATTACACGGTGTTTCTGTTGCAATCGTTGTTACAGTTTCGTTACGATCGGGCCAAGTGAACGTTGAATGTGCTCGGACAACATTGACAACGCTGGTCGGTCTGTTGTGTAAGTAAGTTATTTGTTTCTTTCTGTTTTAATGACAAAAACTTGCTGTTGTTTCAATTATTATTATGTATATATTTCTAAGTAGTGTATATATATTATATTTATATATCCTAACTTCTGTATGTTTGCTTTAATTGTACACTCCTAGATATCTAGCATCATGATCATGAAGGTCGTCGCCGTTGTGCTTACGCTTAGTTTCGCGTACTCTAATTATTGATGCTCACATTGCCCAGTTGCCCAATTAGGTTGAAATGTTCTTCCTCTTTTACATTTTGTTACTAATAGTACTAGGAATTTGGCTGATGCAATGTTAAACCATGTTCAGTCTATAGCGGCCGCAAACACCGTGACATCGCAATGGTACTCCCATCTGGTGCACCTGAACTCGCCTTTTACTCTTTACTATAGCAGATTTATTAAAGGTAATGTTTGATGCAACAGATAATGAGCGATAGCGATTGTCCCATAGGCAAAGGCCATCATTATTATTATTATTATTATTACTTTTGTGGTATCAAACTGTTCAAACGGTAATGTTGTTGCCGCTGTCTCTTTTGTTTGTATGCTATTCATTTCTTGGCGCAATTGTAACAGTTAGTTCGGGGGCCTCTCTTTGCTTTTGTTTATGCTATTATCATCTTTATCTGTTGGTGGTTGTTTTTATTGTAGCAAGTAATTACTAAAATGGCATATTTTTTTAATTCCTAGCATTGTCCATTATTATTATTTCGTTACAATATTAATAATAATTATTATTATTACTGAAAGTAACTGGGTACCTTGTCGCCGACTGCGATATCGCGGACTCGACACAACCTACTCGTAGTAGTAATTCTAATATCATCAGTCATAATAGCGATATTGGTAGCGGCATAAATATCCAATATCTCTCTCCCTCCCCCATCCTCTTTTCACGCTCACTCTCTTATACCAGCAGACACGCCCCGAGCTCTGCAGGGTTTAGGCGTTATGTTCACCTTTTTTTTTTGTTCCCACTGCCGTCTACACCCTCTTTTTCCGTTTAGCTCACATTTCGTTTCATCTGATTCGGTCCATCCTTATTTCCTAGTGCTCATTTCGTACATCGGTTACGTGAGTTCTGTTATGTATCCCTCCGCTACCGCTACATCCACGCTGAGCAGCCGAACAGGTTTTGGTAACCACCCGCGCACGCACACACGCGCACAGAGATAGCTAGATGGAGGCGAGTACTTCCAGGCACTCAAACATACCATACAGTACTATTCACCCTTCTACGCGCTCTGCCTTTGCCTTTCACTCATTTGCTAACACACGCTGGCCCTTTGCAGACATGCACGGCCACGCTTTTTTTACACCAGCCTAGCTATTTATTCCATCCCTTCGATTGATTCTTTGTTGACGATCAACTGTTACTCTTTTGATCATCTCTGTGTATTCGTTTCCAAATATCGCTGGCCGTTTCTGCACCGTACAGAGGTGATGCAGCACCAGGCACCACATCTTTCTGGTTTAGCCAGGTTCGTCTTAAACTATATCTAAATAATAAATTGTTTCGGACACAGATGTGATCTGAAGTGTTATTAGTGTCAACGGTTTTCTGTACGTTAGGCGTTCCGGTGTCGTGTTATCATCGTCTTTGCGTCTGTTCAGTCCTCGTCCAGCCAACCTTCAATGTATGCGCTTCCCCGCTTTTCTTGCTTCGATGCTTTTTCTTCCCCACCCATTCTCTCTCTC